GTGAGTATCAAGATGGTAGATTGCAAAGGAGTACCAGAAGCCATACAGAAGCTCTGTGGTGTGATGTACATTATGCAAGGTTGTCGGGACTGGTGTGGGTAACTATTGAGCTCATAGGCATGAAGGACAGACACTAAGTATACTTTGCTGAAATTTAATGCCAGTGCGTATTAGGGTGGGTCTACTTAATACCGAGGCAATCACCGTCCAATAAAGATCCCTCCGAGGAGAATAGCTCCGGCAAAGTGACAAGAGATTGAGAAGGTCATGGATGGTCTAATTAAGGAAGGGATAGTCGAGAAATCAGATTGTTCCTGGTCAGCTCCCGTCCTGTTAGTCCAGTAGAAAGATGGGACCCAACGTTGCTGTGTGGACTTCAGGGCTCTTAACAGTATACCCCAAAAAGGACTCATACCCACTGCCAAGAATTGATGATACTCTCGATGCCCTAAGTGGAGACAGGTGGATTTCAACTCTAGACTTCAAGTCGGGTTTCTATCAAGTGAAAATGGCTGAAGCAGATAAATCTAAGACAGCATTTAGTTATGGCCCAGGTCTCTGGCAATACTGTGTGATGCCATTCGGTCTTAGCAATGCTCCAGCCTACAATGGAAGATAGCCCTAGTGTACCTGGATGATGTCATTGTGTTTGCATCAACATTTGATGAGGAAGTTATCCCAGCTAGAGGAAGTATTCAAGCATTTGAAAGCAGCAAACCTCAAACTCCATCCCAAGAAATTCCACTTGTTCCAGAAAGAGGTGCTTTACTTGGGTCACATTGTAAGTGAACATGGTGTGTGAACTGATCCTGACAAGGTGAAAGCAGTGCATGATTGGCCAACACCAGACAGTGTGGGAGAGTTAAGAAGTTTCTTGGGACTCTGTACCTATTACTGTAAGTTTGTGAAGGACTTTGCAACTATAGCCGCTCGACTACATGGTTTGACCAAAAAAGCCAAATGTTTGAATGGGTAGTTTCTTGTCAGCATGCTTTCAAGACATTGAGAGAAAAATTGGCCTCAGCTCCACTTTTAAAGATTCTAGATCCCTCACTGCCGTACATACTGGATTGTGATGCTAGTAATGTCGGAATTGGAGGACTGTTGTCTCAGAAAGTTGGTGAAAACGAACATGTGGTGGCCTACTTCAGTAGGGTTTTGAGTAGACCAGAGAGGACCTACTGTGTAACTCGAAGGAAACTCCTTGCTATAGTAAGAAGTCTGACATTTTTCCATCATTATCTCTGTGGCGCCAGGTTTACCATCAGGACAGACCATGCTGCATTACACTGGTTTAGATCATTAAAGAACCCAGAGGGACAACTGGCACGTTGGATCGGAAAAATAGACCAGTATAATTATGATATTGAATACAGAGAAGGAAAATCTCATGGAAATGCCGACGGACTGAGCTGAAGATTCTGCAAAAATGACTGCAGACATTGCTGCAAAAGAGAGGTTGAACTAACCAGGTGCCATCGAGCTGAAGTCTAAGTG